GCAAGCCTGGACGGCCCACCCTATTCAAATAGAACTCAAAAATCCCTCACAGTTTCCACACCCAAAACAATATCCCCTCAAGCCTGAGGGATGATGAGGCCTTATGCATATCATAAATTTCGTAAAAAATAAGGACTGCCAATTAGTTACTTCAGCCCCTACAATAAATTTAAAATTCTTACAAAAGTTAATTTTAAAATATAAGTTACAAAATAAACAACTAAAAGAGATATAAATAGGTAATAAATGTATTTTTTAAGAAGTTAAAGAAAACTTGTTTTTAGATAAAAAAAGATTTTATAAAGAAGGGTTTGTCCTAATATTGTTTCAAATAGGAGAGATAAAGGCAAGCCATCAAAAGGTTTAATATGTTATATAAAGGTCTAAGTAAGTTTTAAAAATGTATAATAATAAGCTTCAATGTGTAATAAAATCAAAGTTAAATATAATCTAAGGGTTGCCTACAAGATTTTTAGGGTCATGTCAAACTAAAATCAAATTCTCTATGTCTATAAAATAACAAGGTTATCTTAATATTGTTCTGCTCTGAGTAACATCTACAAAAAACCATTACAGAGAAAGATTTTATCAAAGAAATTATTTGTGTTTCCTATTGATATTGTCAACTTTATCAGAGTTCATTTATATATTTGTTCATCCAGTGGTCTCTTAAATGACCACTTTATAACTGAGTTCAGTGTCTAGACTTTATCTAAATATGGTATAAACATTTACAGAGTTAAGAGTGTCAATTTATGTAAAATGATGAGCTAAATCTCTCTTTTATCCAAAAGTGTTACATTTAACCTGCATCCTGACAGTCAGCCTCTATTTATTTGCCTTTAAAGGTCCCACAAACGCTTTATAACAACTAACTGGTCAGTCTTGCCACAAGAATTTAAAGAAAGCCCTCATCTTTGTGGACAGACCCTAACCAGAGACTTATTAGATAGGTACTACCCAGAAGCCACCCTTCTTCAATGCAGAGCCACAGAACCCCTTATCTGCAATACAACTGAGTCCCTTTTAAAATTTCTGGCCTCAGAAAACACATGAAAAAATGCTCACCATCTCTAGCAATAAAGGAAATGCAAATTAAAACCACGCTAAGATTCCACCTCACCCCTGTTAGAATAGCCATCATCAGCAACACCACCAACAACAGGTGTTGGCGAGGATGCGGGGAAAAAGGAACCCTCTTACACTGTTGGTGGGAATGTAGACTAGTACAACCACTCTGGAAAAAAATTTGGAGGCTACTTAAAAAGCTGGACATCGATCTACCATTTGATCCAGCAATACCACTCTTGGGGATATACCCAAAAGACTGTTACTCCAGAGGCACCTGCACATCCATGTTTATTGCGGCACTATTCACAATAGCCAAGTTATGGAAACAGCCAAGATGCCCCAGCACTGACGAATGGATTAAGAAAATGTGGTATCTATACACAATGGAATTTTATGCAGCCATGAAGAAGAATGAAATGTTATCATTTGCTGGTAAATGGATGGAATTGGAGAACATCATTCTGAGTGAGGTTAGCCTGGCTCAAAAACCAAAAATCGTATGTTCTCCCTCATATGTGGACATTAGATCAAGGGCAAACACAACAAGGGGATTGGACTATGAGCACATGATAAAAGCGAGAGCACACAAGGGTGGGGTGAGGATAGGTAAGACACCTAAAAAACTAGCTAGCATTTGTTGACCTTAACGCAGAGAAACTAAAGCAGATACCTTAAAGCAACTGAGGCCAATAGGAAAAGGGGAACATGTACTAGAGAAAAGGTGAGATCAAAAAGAATTAACCTAGAAGGTAACACCCACGCACAGGAAATCAATGTGAGTCAATGCCCTGTATAGCTATCCTTATCTCAACCAGCAAAAACCCTTGTTCCTTCCTATTATTGCTTATACTCTCTCTACAACAAAATTAGAAATAAGGGCAAAATAGTTTCTGCTGGGTATTGAGGGAGGGGGAGAGGGAGGGGGCGGAGTGGGTGGTAAGGGAGGGGTGGGGGCAGGGGGGAGAAATGAACCAAGCCTTGTATGCACATATGAATAATAAAAGAAAAATGAAAAAAAAAATAAAATTTCTGGCCTCTGGGAATACAAAGTCTCTAAGGAGAAGGCTCAATTATGTCTCCCTCAGGTCATCTACCTAGGTGTGTTCTTAAAAGGACAGACACACTCCCTGAGTCATGAGTGAATCAACCCAATCTTCAGTTTCCCTCCCCCCATACCATAAGACAGCTTTCAGCAAGCTTGGGAGTTATAGGATTTTACAAACTTTAGATCCCTAGGTATGCAGTCCCTTAACAGACACCTTTTATGCTCCTCCTAATATTCCTATTTAGGTCTTAAATAATATATGGCCACCCATTTCTCTTAGAAAACTTGCCTCCAACAGACTCTTCTCTGGCTGACTACTACCTTATCTTAACCTGCTCAGGGAACTTCTCAAAAAACATACAGACCAGATCCTGCCCCACCCTATAACAATTTCTATTAAACCATGGGATCTTGTTCTCTTAAAGGATCCTCTACTCTCTCCATCAGGACTTCTGTGGACCAGCCTTCATCTGGTTATTCTCATGACACCCACTGCTGTCAGGCTCAATGGGATCCCCCAGTGGCAGCACCTCTTAAGGAATGAACCCTTAAAACCCTCTAGAGAACAACATTTCACAGTGGTTCTCTTGGCTAATGCACATCCTAATGCCTGTATTTCTTGCTCTCCTTTTCTTAAGCTTCGTCCCTTGTATTATACTACATGTCTGCTACTGCTAATCCAAAATTTAACCAGTTGTACCTCCAGGGATATCAACCTCTCCAAAACCACCCAGAAAAACTACTGTAAAGGCCTCATCCAGATGCCACAGAAGCCTGAGGATCCTGCCCCATACAACACCCCCTACCATTAGGAAGCAGCTAAAGAGACCCATGCTTTGCCCCAATTCCTGATCCTCAGCCCCTACCTCATCATTATTAAGCAAAAAATGGGGGAATGATAAGAACTGCCCCTTCTGCAGCCTAAGCCGCAGCTGGTTTCACCCCTTGCAGAACAAAGCCCACTGTTCCTTATCTCCTGCCACCTTCCTTTGAATGGGGTTACCATAGAATGGGGCTGCCAGTATCAATGAGGATGATAGAGCTGTGAAGTAGCAGAGGCCTGATGGTGGCAGTAGCCATGGAGGCAGGACAGACAGAGTCCCTATAGGACAGCAATGCTGGGCTGGGCTGCTAGTACAGCATGGTGTTCCTATGGGCAGTGTAGATGGGCAGTAACCACATGTTGCTTGGCTTACATAGCCAGGAAATAAAACCAAGAACTGGCAAGTGATAAGGACTGCCCCTTCTGCATCCTAAGCTGCAGCTGGTTTTACCCCTTGCAGAACAAAGCCCACTGTTCCTTATCTCCTGCCACCTTCCTTTGCCCGCCCCTAGACCTTGCTTCTGCAGCTGGTCTCATCCCTTGCAGAACAAAGCCCCACTGTCCCTTAACTTCTGCCACCTCTCTTTGTCCATCCCTAGCCCTTGCTTTCTCCCAAATGCTACTTAAGGCCAGACCACCGAGAAAAGCTGCTCGCCATTTTTCTTTTCCTTTTCTTGGCCAGCCAGCCTGCTTATTAAACTTTTGGACGTGAGATAACTCTCGTGAGCCTCCTTTGTGTGCGATGTGTGGTGTTTTCCTAACAGCAAGAAGAAGGTTGTCAGCTATTACAGTGGAAAAATCAGTCATTCACCTAGTTTTCAAATGTGAATCAGTTTTCAGACCTGTATTCCATGGAGTGAGGGGAAGGTTGAATGTGTTTGAAGAAGAATCTTGCAATATCCTTGCATGCACAGACAAATCTTCCCTCAATCCCTCCTCACAGGAATTGCAGCCTTTTTATTTGAGACAGGGTCTCTCTATGTGGCCTGTTCTACTGGACTTGAACTTGTTATGTAGCCCAGGCTGGCCTCAAACTTTGTAATCCTCCTGTCTTGCCTCCCAAGCACTGGGATTTTAGGAGTGTACCATCACACTTTGAAAAACTACAGCTCCTTATCAGGATAACTGTATGACAAGGAAAGGGCAATACCCAGTACCCTTTGGGGGTTGTTGAGTACAGGGTCTGAGCTGATGCTAGTACCAGGTGCAGACAAATGCTCTAGCCTCCCAGCCTCTGGAATCCCCAAGCAGGACAAGATGTGGGCTTCGTAGGTGCGACTATTGTCTGCAGTAGTCTCCGGCTTGCAGCATGCTCTGTTGCTTTTCCCTCTTCCATCTCTCTCTCTCCTTGCTTCCTCTCTGGCTTTCTGACATCACTCCCAGGGAAATAAATGACTTTCACCCTTCCTTGGGATTTGTCTCGGGTGGTTTTCTTTCTTTTTTTTTTTTCCTGTGGGGGAGTTGGATGCAGAGGGATGGGGAGTACTAAAAAACTGTGATAGGTACTGAGCAAAATGTGACGCCTAGGACTCTAACAAAGTGGGTGTCAGCTCCCTCTTTCTCCCACCACTTCTACAGAGAGCACTTGGGAGTCATATTCCTACTAGATGAGTAAATAAATGAAAACAAATTTTAGAATAACTGAGCATCAGTTTGTCCAGATAAAGCATTGTTTTATGTTAGGTAAATGTTTCAAAATAAAATAAAGTGGATAGCTATTCCAATTTTGATTTTTCTTCCTTGTTTAGTACTTCCTTCCCAGGGCCCCACATTTGCCAGCTTGTGCTTTAAATGAACATATATTTATAGGGTATAGTTACAATTTTATATTATATATTGATACTTATATTAAGCATTTGTGGTATTAAATACTAAGTTAATTATATATTTATATAGACAAATGTCTGTGTATTTTTATTAGTAGAACAAAAAATCTTTTTGTTATTTCATCATACTATTTGCAGGAAAGAACTAGAATATTAGAAGTCAAACAGTCCTCTTAAATAAGGGTGTCACTTGCCACTGTAGATACTTGATTTTTCTTGTTTTTCTTCCTGGCCATCAGGAGCGTGAGGAAGAGGCTGCCTGTGTCATTATGTGTGCGTCAGTCAAGTACAACATTCGGGGTCCTGCCCTCATCCCAAGAATGAAGACCAAACACCGAATCTACTACATCACTCTCTTCTCCATTGTCCTGCTGGGCCTCATCGCCACTGGCATGTTTCAGTTCTGGCCCCACTCCATCGAGTCCTCCAATGACTGGAGTGTGGAGAAGCGCAGTGTCCGGGATGTGCCAGTGGTCAGGCTACCAGCTGAGAGCCCCATCCCAGAGCGGGGAGATCTCAGCTGCAGAATGCACACGTGCTTTGACGTCTATCGCTGTGGCTTCAATCCAAAGAACAAAATCAAGGTGTATATCTACTCTCTGAAAAAGTACGTGGATGACTCTGGTGTCCCTGTCAGTAGCACCATCTCCCGGGAGTATAACGAACTGCTCACCGCCATCTCAGAGAGTGACTACTATACTGATGACATCACCCGGGCCTGTCTGTTTGTTCCCTCCATTGACGTGCTTAACCAGAACTCTCTCCGCATCAAGGAGACTGCGCAGGCACTGGCCCAACTCTCCAGGTATGTACCACTTAGAGACCAGAGGGGTCCTTCAGGGAGCTGAAGGGAAGGGGAGGGATAGGAGTGCTTCTCCTAGTGAACTGGCCTCCAGATGCTGTCTTCTCACAGACATGCAGCCAGAGGCCATGCTGTGAGCACTGAAGAGCAGTCTGCCATCTGATTCTGCTGTGGGGGGAATTCACTAAGGATGGCTCTTCCTACCACACTTTAAATATACTGCTTCTGTCACCAATCCCTTACATAATACATGCGTCCTGGGAATGTAAGATTCATTCCATAATCCTGCTTACAAGAGATTATCATTATTAATATGTTGATGTTACTTTTCAGTCATTTTTGTATAAAAAATACATTCATATGAGTATTTATTAAGTGTTTCATATCAAGAATGAGATCACACAATGTATACTTTGGCTGTATTTCCCCTTAATGTGCCATGAATGTACTTCCAAACAATTTCACATTCTTTTAGTATAATTTTAAAGGTTGTATAGTATTCCAACTTCTGGATGTTCTATAATATATTCAGCCAGTCTTCTATATTTTATTTACTTTTTCTTTTTTTCATCAAATGATGAATATTGTAGGTTTTAGGGTTTTTGTTTTTTTTTATTAACCTGCTGTGGACAAGCTTGAAGTATATGTCTGTCCACTTTTTCTTTTACAGAGCCGGGTTAGTGCCTGATGTACTGTTGGGACTTGTAGGAATTTACCTTGCATGTCTGGGAAGTGACCCTCTTTGGGTTGGGGACACTTGTTATCCAGCTGCTGATTCTCCTTTCTTCTTGGTTGACAAGAACTCATTAATTAAGAACTCATTTAATTTCTTAATAGGTGGGATCGAGGCACAAATCACTTGTTGTTCAACATGTTGCCTGGAGGTCCCCCAGATTATAACACTGCCCTGGAAGTCCCCAGAGACAGGTAGGCATATTTGGGATTGTCTCTGTGATGGGTTTCTGAGGAGTAAGCAAATTATGTAAGATCTTTTTGTTCTTATAACATTATAGTCTTAAACCTACTGGAACATATTTTATTATCAGAATTGTTAAACTAGAAAAGTATCTCAGGCATTTCCCTTCTTAAGACACAGAAATCTTGAACCTGCTTAAATTCTGTTGTGGAAACCATTCAGAGGTTATGTTGATGTTTGGCCTCTTGGAAAATGGTCTGTTTTCTTAGTCTGGGTTATGCTTTTCTGAGTGTAGCACCCCAGTTCCTAAGGCCAGGAAGGTTCAGGATTGGCTTGTGTTGGCTTTCTCTGAATTTGGGAGCATTTGCCTAAAGTAGACACACAGTTCATAAGAAGCATGGATATATAAAAGTGATAGCTAACCTGCTATGCACACTGTCATTTGCCTGTATTTCATTCAGGAGGGTACTTTCTTTCCTCTCCCCTTTCTTTTCTTACCCTGCCTCCCCTTCCACTTTCCTTCTTTCTTTCCTTCCTTTGTGATGAAACCTTCCAAGTTGACAGATGTGAACTGGGTGGCCCATGACCCATGATTCTGACTTTGAGTTCATGCCTTCCCTTTCATGTGCTCATGCTTTGGCCAGAGGCTTTGGAAAGCTGTGGAATGAGGTGCAGCATGTGACACCTCTCTTAGTGCAGAAAGTTTGGGCCCCAGATAGGGTTCTGGACAGTATTTAAGGTGTAGGATTATTGTAAGAGTTTATGTGTGAACTCCTGTATCCTCAGTCTTGTGCGAGCTGATGGTGAACTCTTGAGATCGTTGTTATTGACAGAAGTCAGCCTGAGAACAGCCTGAGGCCAACTGTGTTCTCAGCTTGTCACAGGCTAACACTGTCATTGATGGAAATCTATACTTCATACTGTTTTTCTCCCCAGAAGGTGAAATCTGAACCTTCATTGCTCTAAGTCATTATTTCCAGTCACTTTGAGTTTCTGTCTGGAAATACAATTATCATTAGAAGGGAGACAAACCCAGCAAGACTGCCTCTCAATTTTGTATAGAAACCACTTTGGACGACAGAGGGCAGTGTGGCCACACTAATGGTGTAGAATCCCGGCCCCCCCCCCGCCAAAGAGTGATCCCTGATTGGCCTCCGCCCAGGGAAGGTGTGTTTGTTCCTGAATGGGCTACTGCTTTATGGGCTTGGTTGTTCTGGGTAAGGGAGATAATTTTGAGAACGGAGAAGGTAAGGAAAAGAGCTGTTAACAAGGAATGCAGTGTCTTTACCTCCTGTTCTGTGTATCTTTTCAGAAGGGCTTACGTTGGGACGTTGCAGTTTTTGCTTACATTTTAGTGTATGCATCTGTAGGGGGATGGATTTTGTTTTTATTAAGTGCACATGTTAAATGGGGTTTTATTTCTCACAGGAAGGTGTCAACTGGAGTTCTTGATAGTGCTAAGGTGTCAGGATCAGGAAGGTGAGGTGGTTTTCTTCTGCCTGTGTTTTTGTGAGTGGTTATAGGCCTTCCTGGAACAAGTAACAGCTCAGCACACAGTCCTCCCTCCTTAATCTTTCCTGTGGCCTTCTGTAGGGTGAGGAGTGGTAGATTTGTTAATTTTTCTTCTCCTTTGTCCTTGCTCCTGGATTCTGGGGAGGGGGTAGAATACTTTTAACAGGAGCTGGATGACAGATTGTTTGGAAATTAGAAAGCAGACTCCAGATTAGGCTGCTTGAAGATCTCCTGAAGTCTGAAGCCGTGGGTGTGATTGCTTAAGTTATTTGGGGAAATGCAATGAAGGAAGGGAAACGTCTGCTCAGCAAATGTATCTTTCATGCTGCTTCAATCTGTTTCTATTTCTCTTGCAATTTTCAAATACTGTACACATGATACTCATGTACTTTTTCTGCACAAGAGTTGAACAGCATGTAAGTGAATAAAGAACAAAATTTAACAATCTGCTCCTTCCTGAGAGGCACTTGCTATTAGGATATTTTGTTTTTCTAGTCTGTTTTCTGTGGGCTTAGATGCAAACATACATACACACACCCATTTTAACTTAAGTGGGAGCATATATACCCTTTGATGGTGTCAGTGTTCTTGCTCTGTTCATTATCCTTTCTTTCCACATAGCTCTTACAGAGTTCTGCCTTTATGTGGGCATACTTTTATTTATTTGAACTCATTATGGAGAATTTCAGACCTGCACAAGAGAAGAGTGGGCAGTACAGTGAGTGAACCTCATAACCTACTCTTAAGCTTCATCATCAACTCAAGGCCAGTCTTGTTTCATCTGTTCTGCTTGCCCCTTCCAGATTATCTAGAAGCAATCCCAAGGTGTTGTGTCATTATAGCTACAGCTATTTCTGTGTGAATCTCTGTGTGATAAGGCTTAAAAACATAGCTATAATATTATTATACCTACAATACTGACAATTTTTTCTATTTATTCATTTATCTTATTTATTTATTGGTGGTACTGGGGTTTGAACTTGGCTTCACACTTCTAGGCAGGCACTGTACCACTTGAGCCACTCTGACAGGCCTTTGTGTGTTGGTTATTTGTGAGATAGGATCTCACTTTATGTCTGGGCTGTCCTGAGCTGTGGTCCTGTTTGTGCTTCCCCATATTTGGGAAGACGGTGTGCACAGGGCCTAGCCATTGGTTGAAATGGGATTTCAAGAACTTTTTGCCTAGGCTGGCCTTGAACCTTGATGCTCCCAATCTCCTCTCTGCCTAAGTACCTAGGATTATAGGCTAGAGCCACTGCACCCCGCCCTATTTTTATTTTTGATTTTTGAGTCAGGGTCTCACTATGTATCCTGGCTGGTCTCAAACTTGTGATCCTCCTATCTCATCCTTCCAAGTGCTGGCATAAAGACTTGCTACCACACCCAGCTCAAAAGTGGCTCTTTAATGTTACCAAATATCTAGCCTTTGTTCAAATTTACTCACAAATAATGTTTTTACAGTATGTTTGACTCAGGAAGCAAATAAGGTAACCAGTAGGATCAATTGGCTTTTGTTTTGTTTTGTTGTAAGCTTTATATTGAAGAGTGCACAGGCCCGATTAGGTGTGTGGGTTAAAGGAAAGCAAAGAATAAACTTGCATGCTGACCATCTCAGCACCATGATTGCTCAGGAGCAGGAGGAGAACTGTGAGGAACGTGCAGGAGGTAGAATGGGGAGGCTGGAGAGCTTGCGGCTGCGGAGGAAGGCTCAGAACAGAGGAGCTGTCCTGGCGTCGGGAAGCCCTGGCAAGTGCTACAAATGCTGGAGAACTCTTCCACTGATACCACAACTGTGATCATCATACTAATACTTCTTGGCTACAAGTTTTCTATTTACTCTTGTAGCTTTGGAAGTGATCTCTGATTTGGGGATCCATAATAGGAAAACAGAATGCACTGCTCAGAAACTCACTTTTCAGTCAATGTGAAACATGTGTTCTGTAAAGCTTGGGTGCTTACAATATTTTCTCTATTACAAGGCTAGGGAAAGCTCTGCAGAAGAGGCCGTGACTCGCATTGAAGGGTGTCAGCAGCAGGGTGGTATGAGGCGAGTTTGACTAACTGCAGTTGTGGCTCTTTCTGGGATTGCAGATGGAGATTGCCTGAGTGTGATCTGTGACACAAGGTGTGCATTAGACTATGTGCTCTCCTGCTGCTGCTTCAGGACATCCACCTCACCTCCTGGAGCAGATTAATGAGTCAGGGCTGCAGGGACAGAATAACAGAAAATGTTGATGTGCTGTATGTCTGCTTCCTTGTTTTCCACATACACCCACCCCTCTCCTCTAGGGCGGGGGTGTAATTCCCTAGTTACCCACGGTCCTGGCCTACCTTCACTGTCTGGTGCTTGTCTAATGGATCCACGTCTGCTTCTCTGCGCAGAGGCTGTGGGCCCATGTGGAGTCTGCTTGCCATCATGGCCATGGAACCCGCCCAAGTTCATGTTGGACGGATTCAGTGCTGCATGCTAATCAGGAAAAATCAGACCGTATGTTGGTACTAAGGATAGTCATTACATTCTAGGAGCAGACTGGCAGCTGGAGAGGTTTTTAGCCTTCACATTACCTCACTCACCAGTTTTTGGTTCCTTAAAGCTTAAACAAACAGAGTGGGATTTCCCTCTTAAACCAGAGGGGTGGTTTAAGAATCTTTGAACTTAAACTGGTCATGTAAGAAGGGAATGTAGGTTGTCATCAGGGCAGGGAGGGGATTGGTAGCAATCAGTATTGCAAAAAATGTGGTTTCTCAGTTCAGACATTTTGTACAGCTGGCAAAACTGCCCTAGAAAGTGGTTTCGGTAGGCTTGGGGCCCCCCAGACAGAATAACAGTGAAAGGTGGTGTGATATACACCTGCTTCCTTTCTTTGATGAAGTGTTGCTGTACTACTTGCTGGATCCAATTGAAACAGTGTGGTCACTGTTTTCTAATAAAGGAGAATGAAAGCTAGTACAAGCGAACTGCAAGAGAGGCACTAAAGGTCCAGTGCAGTATTCTGCTTCCTGAACAGGGAATTGGGTTAATACCTGTGTAGCTAGAATGGACACTGTGAGCTGACTGAGGCTGTGTGATTGACGTGGAGCTCTGGGGCAATAGAGGAAGGACTGCTTGCAGTAGGGATTGGAGAGTCTAGGCAAATGCGATGTGAGAGCTGATACCTTCTGCCACCTCTGCCTTCCATGCTATTGTGTCCTAAGATTCCAGGCAGAAGAAGGGAAACGACTGCCCCAGCCTTCTCCCGTGCAGACCTGCTATGATTCCTGTTGCTGGGAATGTGTTTAAAGATGAAGTATGACTTTGGAGGGGAGGGAGGTAAGTGAGATAGGGACTGTTCATTGTGTCCCCAAGCTATGATACGTTTTTAAAAATGGAAAGAAAAGACCTTACAACCCTGTGGGAAGCTGGTGATTCAGACAGGATGGAGCTGACGTGTGGGAGATGCGATGTGAATGTGAACACCTAGCACAGTGTCTTTATAGAAGAGTGACTAGGTAACGTCTCTGTTATTATTACTAAGTCATTCCTTCCCTTTCTACAGAGTTTATCAGAATGAAGACCTTCTTTGTTTCTCATCGTTTGATAAAATCCTTTGCTTTCAGGGCGCTGTTGGCTGGTGGTGGCTTTTCTACATGGACTTACCGGCAAGGCTACGATGTCAGCATCCCCGTCTATAGTCCACTGTCAGCTGAGGTGACTCTTCCAGAGAAAGGACCAGGGTAAGGTGCCTTCAGCACAGATTGTGTGTCTTCACAGACTCTGCTCCATGCTGGTGAGGCAGAACGTGGATATCTCAGCAACCAGAGCATCATTTTCAGCCAGAGTTGTTGTCTGGCCCATCCCACCTCACCCCATCCCATCTTTATCCTATAGCTATCTCTATCTCAGTAAACTCCCAGGACTGTCTACCAGGTTTTCCAAGCAGGAACCTATGGCATCCATAACTCATTCCTTTCCTTTACTTCCTACATTAAAATAACAAGTCCTATTTACTCTGTGTCAGAGATATTTCTTAGATTTGTCTGGTCTCTCTCCTCTGCTTCTGCCCTAAGCCAGGTCACTGGTATCTCCCCTTGGACTGCTGAATGGCATCCCGTTTGGTGTCCTTTCCTCTAGTCTTGCTCCCCTCCAACATGGCCGTTGACCTTACTATGCTGGAAGGATAAAGCTGCACTATCCTGAAATGTCTGTCTGTCTAGGTTCTCTGTCATCTCACCACTGTACCCATTGCCAGCCTTCTCTGAGAACTTTTCTTCCTTTCAGTTCCTATAATAGGCTTTGCTCTCTCAGTTTTTCTGGGCTGCAGATGTACTCTCCATTGCCTGGAAATCTTTCTGCTCATCTTCAGTCTAACGTCCTGCTTATCCTTTAGGTGTCAACTTGGGGCAGTGTGGGGCGCACTTACTTCACCTGGACTGGCTCCTCTGCATTATGTTCCCATAACAGGCTGCCATTCTCCTAGGGTAACATTCATTATGTGCCCTGGCGTCGTGACTTGCTGAAAGCTTGTCTTCTTTGGACTTTGGAGTTTGTCAGTGCAATGAAGCAGAGGCCAGGTCTGCTTTTTAACTGTCACAGTGTGTCTGGCACATAGTTGGCTCATATTTTAATGTGTGGAATAAGTGAAAAGGGCATGAATGTGGTGGGCCTTTTGTTTAACTTTTTTGCTGTAGTCTGTTTAAAAAAAAATTGTGCTGTTTCATGTTGAGGACTCTGTGAGCTTTAAACATGATAAAAGCATTCTTTACTCCCATGAAAAGTACTCAGATATGACAGCATCTGAAATTACAACACTAAAAATATCATACTAGCTGATATTTAAGAACCCATTCATACTATTTGGTCATAGAAATGGATCTCAAAGAAATGGTTGACTTGGAGAACATTAGAACCATTCTCTGAGCACATTTTTTCCCTTACCCTTAGGCAGGTACAAAGGACAGAATGGTTCATGCACTTGTGGCTAAGATCATCATCCTAGCTGTTTTCCCCTTTAATGGACTCTCAGAGTTGACTTAATTTGTTATTTTTAAATTGAGATTAATTCATATATCAGAAATTCACTGTTACCATTATGTCCAACTTTTAAAATGAACTTTTGAGATAGATTCTTACTATGTAGCTCAGGCTGACCTTGAATTTGGAATCTTGCTGCCTTTGCCTCTTGAGTGCTGGGACTACAGGTGTGTCACCATGTCCAGCCCAAATTCACTGCTGTAAAGTATACAATTCAATGATTTTTAGTATATTCACAAGGTTGTGCAACTATCATCAGTATAGTGATAACATTTTTATCACTTCAAAAATAAAATGCTATTTTAGCACCACTTGCTGAGAAGAGTATTCTTCTCCCATTGAATGGTCTTGGTACGCTTGTTGAAAATAAACTGGCTATAGATGTATGGATTCATTTCTGGTCTCTCAATTCTAATAGTGGTCTCTATGTCTATCCTTAAGCCAGGACCATACTGGCTTGATTGCTTAGCTTTGCAGGAAGTTCCAAAGTAGGTAATGTGATTTTTCCAACTTTGTGATTTTTTTTTTCAAGGTTTTAATGGTTTTAAGGGACTCAAGGTCCCTCACTTTTTATTAATTGTTTTTATTATACTGTAATTTAAATAGTGCAATTAAAAAGCAATCAAAATATCTTGTGCTTATACCACTACAAAACTAAGACAAACTTAGAAATTAAATAATAACATCTACATCTACAAAATTAATAGCATATTAGCATAATTTAATGTGATAGGTGAGGGTGTGTCTTAGAAATGGAATTCTATTCTCTAAGGTGCATGTGGAGTTAATATATGGTTCATAGGGTTTGGCAAGTCTGGATAGTTAGATATTGAGTGGTAGTATGCTTTGCCCTGCCTTGTTTTCTATTTGAACCTCTAGGAAGCTTCCCTTTATGTAGCATGTTGTGACATTTATCTTCATCTGATGTAGATGCATGGTTCCCCAACATTAATTATGAAAATTTCAAAGCAGATAGTAAAGTTTTGAAGATTTCATAGTGAACATAATGTCTGCCCACCACCTAGGTTCTACTATTTTGCATTTTGCTATAGTTGATTTATATTTTAAATCTTTCCCTCTTCTTATTATCCCACTAAATACAAACTTATTTTCTGTTGCTGTAACTGAGCACCACAGACTTAGTAATTAATAAAGAATGAAGGTTCTTCATTTGGCTCATGGCTTTGAAAGCTGGGATATTCAAGATCAGCAGCTGTATTTGGTAAGGTCCTTCTTTCTGTGGGGATTCTCTGCAGAGTGTCAACCTGGTGCAGGGCATGGTGCAACAGACTGTCCAGCTCAGGTCTCTCCTCTTCTTACAAAGTCACAGCCCCATTGGATTAGGGCCTTGTTCTGTGGTCTCATTTAACTGTAATTACCTCCCAGAGGTCTCATCTCCAAATATCATAGTCGAATTAAGTTTCTGCCTTCTTTCTACTTCACAGTGGGGACAGTGGGGATTAAATTTCAACCTGAGTTTTGTAGGGCATTTAGACACTGAATTTTTTAATCAGAAATCATCATTGTGAGCAAAAATATGCCTATACTAACTTTTTTGATTATCATCAAATAAAAAATAATTCTTCTAGAGGACTCATAGAGTGGAGAAAATGATATGGTTCCACAGCCTGTTTTGAGGCTAGATTTTCATAAATTGAGAAAGAGCAAGTGGCGTGAGCCAGTTGGTGCTCTCTGGGGCATTTCAGGTTTTGGCACGTTAATGTTGCATGAAATATGAGTAGCTAATAAGTAGAAAAACTCTGCTTCTGCTTCTGTGAGCATTTACTTAAATCAGTTGTGTGATAAAAGATAACTTTTTACTCATTTCTTTGTCTTTTTTTGTGACTTTGTTCTGGAAATTATTTAATTCAATTCAGTGCACTTCTATTCACAGTGAACCTTGATCGGAGGCCTGTTTGTGCCAACTATTGGGCTGGGCTGGTGGTTTTCAACAGGATGAAGGGAGGGATCACCCCCAGGGGACATTTGGCAGTATGTAGAGATTTTTGACTATCATGAGGAGAGGGTGCATTTCAGGAGTCCCAAGCCACCGTCAGTTTCTGGATTTGCCAGGATGACTCATGGGACCAGCAGCCATGATTTAGCACAGTGAAAGAAGGCCAAGCAAAGTCAGGAAAGGGAAGAAGTGTGTGGATGGTGTCCAGAGAAACCAAGCACAGGTTGCCCAGTGTCCTCTTCCAGCAGAGTCACACAGGACAAGTTGTGACAACACATGTGAAATGCTGTCAGGTAGGACAGTGTGCATGGGTTGTATTGGGAGCTGATAGCACAGGCTGTCTCTCCTGGCATAGACCAAAACTCCAGACTCCCAGCAGTGAGGCACGTGTTCAGCATGAACCATCTTGTTTGCGCATTTTGGGCACAGTGAACCTCTCTTACTAGCTCTGGGGATAATGGGAACCTTCTCCAAATCTAGGTTCCCAGATGCCAGCCAAAAGATGGCAGGCAGGCCTACCCTGTTAACTTTTCTGCACAGGACAGCTGCAGTGATAAATGATTGTGTCCAAATGTCAGCTTGCTGTGGCTGAGAAACCTTGGGTGAGGTAGTGAGTGGGTGAAGATCAGGCCCCTCTATTGCCTCTGGGCCTTTCTGCCTTAGGTACTCTTTTCTTGAGACCATCAAACTAAACTCTCATTATGACCTAATCTCTAGCATAATCTAGTTCTCTTCAGTTGGTTCAGGACTCTTTAATTCCCTCTAGATTTAATTCAGGGGAGATTTGGTGAAAACACAACAAAGGAGAGCAAACCATTTGGAACAGTGGAGATCGTTTTTAAATAATTAGTTTCACAGATTTAAACTGTTATGTTGGTGGTATTTTTCTAGTAATTCGATCTCCCTAATTTTTGTGTATAACTACACTGAATTTAAGATCCTTAACTTGATCACTCAAGGTTCCAGTTGGTTTTTAAAGCTCTTTGGTTCAGTAATCTTGTAAGATACCACACTGTATCTTTAGAGTAACCCATGAGAGGTAAGGGCTCACTGGACATGACCCCCTCTGCTGACCAGTGGATGGATTTCTGCAGTGTGACTTAGGCATCTACTTGACACTACCTTGCCAGCTTGCAGTTTGGCCCTGCAGCGGTGGCGTTACTTTTACAAAGATCATTCTTCTGCCCTCCGAAAACAAAGGATAATAACCAAAAGGTAAAAGCAGGCTTGCAGCTCTGCACTCCCTTCAGGGACTTGGGAGAAGGCAGGGTGGGCCTCATAGCAACACGATGGGTTTGTTGCTCTTTGTGAGACTTGCTTTTTGAGGGAATTCCCACATCTCCTAAGGACTGCCCAAAGTAGCAAGCGCCCTGGTTTTATTTTTGCTTTAAATTTCTCTCAGTAGTTTTTCAATGAGAAGCTGAGGATGGTTACTATTGATAGCTTCTTCTCACAGCTCTTTTGGCCCCGGCTAGAATTCTTGTCATTTTCCTTCTAAAAGAACCTCAATTGGGAGTTTATAACCATTACCATTGGGGGAGATTTCAAGTTCTCAGTGTGATTTTACTTAAACTTAGATATCAGCATCACTGGGAGGAAACATGAAAGTCACAGCTAGTAGTTTTAGTCTTTGAAAGAAAAACAAATTCACCTGGAAATTTTGTTAGCTTAAAACTGAAATGGGCATACTCTTATCAGCCACCTTTCAGGTCAGGGAGAGCCAACATGTGGACAGGGAACTATTCAGACTACTGCTTACTCACATCTGCGCTGTCATGCTGCTGGAGAGGGAGATGTGGTAGTGGTCCTGGTAACTGAGTGTTACAGAACTTTGTTAATAGTGAAATCTAACCTGAGCCTATCTTTGCTTAATTTCCTTCAAGTACACACATACATCTGTATTTACTTCTGAATCTGTATAGATAGATCTTTCTCTGTATCTATGCATACTGAATCCCACGCATTCATGTCAATATCTCCAGTCCTGTGCAGCACAGCAGAGGCATTCTGGTTCTCTTGTGGCTCCCTTCTCTGGCTCCCATGATCCTCAATGTCTATACATGTTTGATCCACCCTCTTCTATATAATCAAGTGTTGCTGCCACTGCACCGGCACTGCACGACGCCCTCCTCACCCTGCTCAGGCTCTACCTCCCCTACACTGCTGCTGCTGCTGCAGTTTGCCCTTGCCTCAGCACAGACCCCTCCTCACAACTCTCGGTCCCAGCCCTGGGGTAGTGTACTGATGCCATCTTCCTTCTGTAGCCTGAGCTCCCTTTGTGGCCCTCCTTGGCACTATTTTGGCTGCCCACATGCCCTCCTAACTGCACTTGGTCTCCTGCATCCCATGCTGGTGGTCACATCTGCTCCATGTCTACAGTGTAGAAGGCTTCCTCTGCCCTCTTGGGATCTGATGCCTGGCACCAGGCTGCTTCCCTACCCTCCCCATAAGCAGAAGCTCTTGCCTCACTTCACCTTTAGCATTCTGTGTGTACCATCTCCCCGACCACCCTCAATATGCAGAAATGCCCTCTGGGATACTGAGACTCTGCTGTCCTACGTGGACCCTCTTCACTGCCCTTGATGCCCATGTCTGTCTTTTTCTGGATACTGTACAGCATCAGCTTTGTACTGACAGATCTGCATAAATAGATTCCAGAAACATCCAGCAGGTTTTGGTGCTCCATGAGATTTGCCATAGAAGCAGGATCTTAAGAATAGAAAGGTCTTTAGAGACCAGATGGCTCTCCCTGGAAGCATGACTTCACTATAGTTTTGATGAAATGCTTTCTGATATATAGTGACAAACTCCCTGCCTCAGAGACTGACCACTTGAACCTTTAATTCTTGAAGCTTTAATTGCTGAGGAGGTTTTCCTACTTGTCTGTGGGTTTGATTGTGTAAACAGACAAGTTTGGTTGCAGAGATGGTATCCAATTTGAGATGAGCTGGGAGTGCTCCCAGCATGTGCGCTTGCCATCACTGAGTCCTCCCTCTGAAAACTGATACTTCAACTGGAGAAAGATTTCTTGGGGAATAGGGCTGGGAAGAGAATCCAAGAGTCCGAGTCAGTGTCTAGAAGGAATAACTTTTGGCCGTGAATATTCAGCATAACTGCTCAGCAAATTGTAATTTAGAAGAGACTTGGGCAGAAAAAGGAACAAGTCTATAGAGTTGATCCAAACCATCTCCCTGGTGGGGTTGTTATCTCCACTTACTCTTGCTCTGGCCTCCTGAGCTCACCCACCCAGGGCAGCCCTGTCAAGTAGAGCTTTCTGTGTAAGAGATGGTCAGCGTGTGTGCTGCCAGGTAGCCACCAGCTCTCTGGTGGCTATTGAGAACTGGAAATGTGGCAGATAGGACTGAAGAACTGAATTTTAAATTTTATTTAATTTTCATTTGTTTAAAACTAAATGGCCTCCTGTGGCTAGTTTCTCTTAGGGAGTGTAACTAAGGAGTCTGCTGGTCCCTTTCTATCCTAACTGTAATGTGCAAAATACCTTTTGCTCTTAGTTTAGCTGAATAAAGAAATCACCAAAAGTAATCATGCTGAGGAGTTAGAAGCAAACCTGGCTATTGATACTCTGCTTTGCTCTCTTGAGTTTATTTAGCTGCTCTGGCTGAAAGGTTAGTATTCACCTTCTTCACTCATTGCTGATGTGCTTTGACCTGAAGTTTCATGCTCTGGGAAAGGAGGTAATCACTGCAGTTACAGAGTGACTGTTCTTAGCCATGGGGGTGTGGGAAAGGTTCTGCCCAGCTAGATCCTCCAAGTAAATAAGTCAAAGAAATTAAAGTCAAAAGGAGAGAGGGAAAGAGGAAGAGGGAGAGTGAGGGGAGGGGGGCGGTGAGGAAGGGAAGGTGGGAACAATGGGGAAGGGAGAGAGAGAGAGAGATTTATAAATTACCCATGTTTGGTTTTTGAGCTGGATTTAAGTGAGTACTACCTCTCAGTCTGAGGTGTTTCATTTCTTCCTGGAACCTGCTTTATGAGACTTCTCTTCGGGAGTGATCCCTAGTGGTCCCTCAGCCTACAGAGCCTCTGTGCCTTGTACCGTCTATCTTGTGGGAGTCTTGCTTTCCAGAAGGGAACTATTTCCCATTTGGTTTCCCTAAAATCTTCCTCTTGATTTCAGCCTTATGCACTTTGTGTTCATATTTTTTTCTTTTTTTTGAGGTCGATGCTGCCTTGCAATGTTGCTGTGTTAGCTTTCCACTACTGGGACAAAATACCTGAGATTAATTTTGGCTTGTCATTTCCGAGGCTTCTGTTCATGGGTGGTCCAGTTGCTTTGGGGCTGGTGGTGAGGTAGAACATCATGGCAGTGGGACTATGAGGCTGAGCAGAGCTGCTTACCTCTTGTGACCTGGAAGTAGAAAGAGAGAGATAAAGGGCCAGAGTCAAAATATACCCTTCAAGGTCTACTCCCTCAATCTCTTACCTTCTCCAAATAGGCTCCACCTCCTAACGTTTTCACCACCTCCCAATAGCTCATTCAGTTATGAGTCCATAAATGGATAAATCCATGGATGAGGTCAGAGTCCTCATGATCCAGTAACCTCTCAAAGGCCCCACTTCTGCACACTGCTGCATTGGGAGCAAGCCTTCAACATACCAGCTTTTGGGAGGCATTTAAGATTTAAACCATAATAGTTTCCCACACTGGCCTCGAACACATGGGCTCAGTGATCCTCTTGCCTCAGCCTCCTGAGTAGCTGGGACACAGGCATGTACCACCATGTCTGGCTTTGTGTTCACATTTCTGTCCCTTCTGGAAAGCTACATGGCACTAGGCCCCTGGAAACTCCTTCTTCATTCCATTTTCTTTTAAGTGTCCTTGCTACTCACTCACATGTTGAAACTGGTTCCATGCTTCGATGAAGATAGTTTTCTTCTGCAACTGTTTGTGTGTCCTTGATGATGGAACTTGCTTCTCAGAGCCTCTCCATAGCATAGGAATACCATTTGCAATATTAAGACCTTTTCCAAAATAAAACTTTGTATGATTATATAATATTTCAGAATGCAAATGAATAAATATCTTATTTTTCACAGTATATAATATTTTAAATATTCAGTAATGCTACACAGTATAATTTTTAAAAATCAGTAGATGTCAACACTGGTAAGCAAACATTTGTTACCATAAGTCAGCATTACTGTTTGTCTCACCTTGACTGACACGCCAGTTACCTTGTCTTCTCCTTTGTAGTCCCCGACGATACTTCCTCCTGTCCTCTCAGATGGCTCTGCATCCTGAGTACAGAGAGGACCTAGAAGGCCTCCAGGCTAAACATGGAGAGTCATTGTTGGTCCTAGACAAATGCACCAATCTCTCCGAGGGGGTCCTTTCTGTCCGCAAGCGATGCCACAACCACCAGGTCTTTGACTACCCTCAGGTGCTGCAGGTGAGTATCATTTAATACCTCTCTTGCCAGGGGTGAAACTGATCCCAGCAGCAGGAGTAACTGTCCACATGCAGCTAGGAATATTACCCAGGGGAGGAGACAATGCAATAATGCTCTTTATGGGCTATGTACACCTTCATGCTTGGGGACCCGGTATGTGGTGTTCATGCAAAGCTGCTCGTTCCATGAAAGTTCATACTCTTTCCAGATACTCACTATACTTAAAAACTACAGATCTGGTAGATTTCCAGGAGCCATGTAGACAAAGCAGATATGTACTTTGCTTTTACCTCTAGACTCATGGACCAGTCCAGGGAAATGTTCCTCCTTAGAGTGGCAGCTCGCATTGCTGGGGCCATGGTAGCCCACGAAACCAGTCAGCTTTCCCTGGGAGTGGAGGGATGTTTTGGGTGGCTCTTATTGTTTGGTTTTTGGTGGTTTTGCCGCCTTTGGCATGTCCTGCCAGGAGCGTGTCCTTCATGCACCATGGCTGTGCCAGTACCTCCATAACCAAAGGCAAAGCAGCCTTTGGGGATGTTTTATAGGCAGGAGTTTTGACATTCCATAGGGGTGGGGCTAAGAAAGGAGAATTTGAGCTTTGTTCACTTAAATATTTAAAACATAGACAGTTAGTTGAAGGAGAAAAAAAATGAAGGCGCTGGTGTGATTTTTTAAAAATCTCCAGAGAGCTAGCCCATACTGAGATTGTTAAAATACTTTCTCTCAAGAAGTGCCACTTCTCCCCCAGAATGTCTGACTGATAAGAGTGGTGATGGGAGCAGGAGTATTTATAGTAACCTTGGTCTAGACAGGAAAAGTGGTTATCAGCGTGTGTGTCCACATCTGGACACAACTCCTCCATCAGGCTGAGCTGTCCACCTGCACCTCAGGCGCCATGCCTCATCCTCTCCTCCACTCTCGCTGTTTCTCTCCTTTATCACCAGGGGAGTTTGGATATCATGTTTCTCCATATTTTTCTTGAGCTTCCCTTTTCTCTAACTTTATTTATTTATGGTTTTTAAGAAGGTTTTGCCATGAGCTCAGGCTGCCTTGAACCTTCAGTCTTCTCTTATAGGTGTGCCACCATGTCTGCCTTCTTTTTCTAACTTGAGAGATTAAATCATGCTTTATTTTTAAATCTTTTTGTTGTTGTTGTTCCTCTTGAAGAGGCAAAAACTGGGAGAAACTGACTATTAAAGAATAGGGTCTTCCTTTGGCTTGCCCATGGCAGGTGCTTTCCCCTGTACATCTTTCATTTCCCCAGCCTTCCCAACATTATGGGGTTTGAGAGGTTTAGTAAGTTTCTTGAGACCTTGCTTTCTCTAGATTTTTTGTTTCTAGATAGAACACATATGCCTTACATCTTTTCAAAGGCCCTGCATTCCTTAAATGAGTGTCTTCTATATGTAGACACTGCTAGATGTTATGGAGAGTAGGAAGATGAAAGAGATTTGAAGCCTTCCCTTGGGGTTCTCGTAAGAGCCCAAATATTCCTGTTATAAGGCGGGCTTAGATCAGTGCTGTGGGCAGTGTTCAGACCAGGTTCCATGCTGTGTTTCCATAGTATACTAGCACTAAAAAGAAACCAGGAACTGGTGGAGTGGCTTAGGCGGTAAGAGCGCCTGCCTAGCAAGCATGAGGCCCTGAGTTCAAACCCCAGTCTGCTAATTAAAAAAATTTCATGTCCTCATCAAACGACATGCACAATATCCCATTGGCTACCATTTAGGCTGGTGGTAAAACACCTGCCTAGCAAGCATGAGGCCCTGAGTTCAAACCCCAGTGCCACTGCACTAAATAAATAAAAATAAAATGAAATGAAAAGAGACCAGTCTTCAGGAGCTCATAGCTTGATGGTTTTCTGTCCAGAGAAGGCTTTGATGTCACTGGATCTGAATTGACTGGATGTCAGTTGTAACTGGTGCATTGGGGTGACACTGAAGAGTAGAAATAGGAAGTATGGCAACCAGTTAGGCTTTCCATGTTTTATAGGTATGAACTGTTGTTTTTGGCATTTTTGCCAAAGATGCCTTGGTATTGCTTGATTTTAAGCCTTAGGGGGAGGAGAACTTCCTGGTCTGCAGGGGTTCAAGTCCATGGCTCAGCCATGCTGGTTTGTAACCCTCACCCTCTTGTGTTCCTGCAGGAGGCTACTTTCTGTGTGGTCCTTCGTGGAGCTCGTCTGGGCCAAGTGGTGCTGAGTGATGTGTTGCAGGCTGGCTGCATCCCAGTTGTCATTGCAGACTCCTACATTCTGCCATTCTCTGAGGTTCTTGACTGGAAGAGGTGGGTATTGCTGTCTAGTAACTTTAGCTGGCGGTTTTTGCCAGAACTAGAAATAAAAGGCCTCTCAAATAATTTGTAATGCATGCCTAGGTTTGAGAACTGTATATTGATCATTATTAATCTAAAAATCTGAAATTAAAAATATTCCAAAATATGAAACTTTGAGTGCTGTCATAATGCCACAGTGGAAAATTCCACACCTGACCTCACGTTGTTTGACATAGTCAAATGCTGGTGCACTAGGAATTACTTTCAGGTTATGTGTATAAGGTATATATGAAACATAAGTTGAATTTCATGTTAAGACTTGAGTCCCATCCGCAAGATATCTCATTATACATATGCAGATTTTCCAAAATTTGAAATAATCTGAAATCTGAGATATTTTTGGTCTAGCATTTTGGATAAAGGACACTGAGCCTGTTCTACTTTAGCCTATTTTGCTGTATCTTCCATTGAAAGACTTAGTGCATTGGCTTAGAGCAGTTCACAAACTGAGGCCAGTGGACCAAATTTGTAGGCTGGCTATTTATGGAAATATAGCCACGCCCCTTCATTGATGTATTTTCTGGCTGTTGATGTGTTATGTGTGCAGAGTTGAGAAATCGCAGAGATTGTGTGGCTTACAAAGCCTAAAATTTTTACTATCTGGCCCTTTCCACAAAGCAGTTTCCAACCCCTGGCCTAGCTCAGTGGTTTTCAACTGTGACTGCAGAGGAGACTATTAAAAATGCCTGACCTTGCCCTGGGGATTCTGAACTCTAAAGCTCCCAGGGAACCGTATTTGTAGATCTGGTCGAGAGCCACGCTGCAGAGACTGTCAAATTTGTACACTGTACTGGCTGGCAGCGGGGAGCCACTGGCGAGGAAAACATCCCCAAGGACAGAGGGACAGAGGGACAGATGTGGATTCTGCTTGATTATGTTCACGACATAGACCTCTCATTGCATGTTTCTTGTCCCCAGGGCTTTAGATGTTGAAGGGTGTTGAAACTTAATTCCTTTTCTACATACTTCTCTGTCTTGTCCTTGTCCCAGGTGCTTAACTACTTACTTCTCCCTCAACTTTTTTGATATTTTATCGAGCTCTGATTACAGGTATGTGAACAGTCTAAATAGCACTAATTCACTAATTTATTCATTCATTCATCTCACATTTGTTGGAAAGCCTATTGTGAATATTACGGAATTTCTGCTTCTGAGGAGGCTAGAATCTAGTAGAGGAAGACAAACCAATGATTAAGGCTAGGATCCTTTATCTGAAGTGCTGGGGCCCAGAAGTGTTTCTGATTTTTTTTTTTTAATATTTGTGTACACATAGTGAGATATCTTAGGGAGGAGGCTCAATTCTAAACATGAAATTCATTTGTATTATATACATCTTATACACATACCCTGAAGGTAATTTTATGCAATGTTTTTGTGTATGAAACAGTTTCATGGTGTTACATTGGTATTCAAAAAGCTTCAGATTTTGGATCATTTTGGATTTAGGAGTTTTGGATTAGTGTTGACAGGCTTGTGTGGCGTTCTTGGGAAATGCCATAGCAGATGCATGCATTGGGCCTTGGAAGCTCAGAAAAGAGGAGAGTATGACATCATTCTTTGTACCTTAGAGAAGCAACGAGCCACTTCCAATCTTTATCCCCCTAGAAAGCATTATTGAGCACCTTTTATTTGGCAGGCAGTGTCAGGCATGGGGTTAAGAAAATGAACAGGGTCAAATCTTTCCTCCAAGAAGGTTTAGTGATGGAAGGGAGAACAGTAAACCAGCAGTTACTAAATACCATGATGCAATGCAACACAGCCCTGGCTGGCTGGCCTGCTAGGAAAAGAGTGAGAAGACAGTGGGATAGGTGAGAACTTCACAGAAGTGATGACTCCAGGTTGGGGATCAGAGGATACTTCTATGAGGATCAAGGTCTGCATGTATACATTATTATGGATAAGTGGTGGGAGGACCTTGAACTTGAAGTTAGAAGGTCTAGGTTTGGATAACCAACTTGGTTCATGGCTAGCTTTGTGGTCATGGCAAATGACCATCTCTTTCGAATCTTGCTTTTCCTATCTGCGTAGTAGAAACTACTTCCTTATTTGACAAATGACCATCAAGAGCTGACTGTGCTAGGCAACATTCCAGCTGCTCAGGGTGCACTGGTAAATGGAGCCAGGCACAGTGTCCATTCTAGTGGACTAACCTAGTGGGTGGAAGTGGGGGTTAGATTGTAATGAATTAATTTATTCAAGCATAATTACAAACTCTGCTAATTGTCCTTCAAAAAGAGTTATCAATGAATCTCCTTTTACTCCACATACTTAATCTGAGAGCACATCCTGTGGCTGGGCCTTCTATCGCTTTCAGCAGTTCCTCCTGTGGTCATCAGCTCTGGCCTGCCTCTGCGGGGCTCTCCAGCCTCTTCTGCTCCTGCACCTGCTTCCTGTGGTTTGTTCTGACATTTTAGATCATGTGGTCCTATGGGAGCCTGTTCAGAGCTTGTCATGCCTTTGCCTGAAACCTGCTAGTGACTTTCCATCTCTGTGTCCTTCTATGTCCTCCAAGTTCTCTGTGCCTTGCTGTGACCCTCTCTCCCATTTCTTCTTGGCTCTTGTTGTTCTCTGTCATGTTTATTCTGCTGTAGTCTTGGAGGCCTCCCTTCTATTCCTGGAATATGCCCAGCGTGCTGCCTCCTCAGGGCCTTTCACAACCTCTAGCGCCCTTTTCAGCATTCTCATGGCCTGCTCCCTGCCTTCCTCATCTGATCTCTTCTGTGTTGTCTCACCAGTGCTTAGCATGTAATAGGGCTTCTATAAGAAATGACAGATAAATGAATGAATTTGTATAGACAGGTAAAGGAAGAATGTAATTGTTAATTCAGATAGTCTAGAGAAGAGTGAAGAAGAGTGTGTCAGGACTTGGGGTGTGGCTCAACTGGTAGAACACTGGCCTAGGAAGTGCAAGGCCCTGAGTTCAAACTTCGGTACTAATAAGAAAAAAAATAAGTGTGACAGGCAGGTGGAGTTTCACATGCAAAGGTCTTGAGGCAGGGCCAAGCATGTAGAATGCACCACTAAATGAAGGCAGATGGAGTGGGAGTGGGAGGTGAGAAATTGGAGCTGCTGAGAAAACTCCTTTGAGAAGGTCAGCCATGAGAAGGGGAAGGAGAGAGAACACTCTATGGATGGGAGGCGGGGATCAAGGAACTTTGGGGTGTCGACTCTGCTTGTGAGAGTGAAACAAGACTGTATGTGTAAGTGCTGGATGTGAAGGCCACACAGTACAAATTGTTTTGCTGTTGTCTTCAGAGCATCTGTGGTTGTCCCAGAAGAAAAGATGTCCGATGTGTTCAGTATTTTGCAGAGCATCCCGCAAAGACAGATTGAAGAGATGCAGAGACAGGTAAGAAAGAGGCCAAGTCTAAGCAGCTCTGTTGAGAAGTGGCATGGGGATGCTGCAGTGGTCTCAGCTGCTTGGGCATAGGGCCAAGTGAGTGAGTGGGGTTCATTTCCCATTGGATTGGCTAACCAAACTTCAATGAAGGGAAAGCAAGGCGAATTGTACCAAGTAAGGCTGGAAATAATAGCGACTGGAAATTTACAAACTCCGCAGAGGGATGTCTGCTGCCATTAAGGTCTTCCTGGAGCAGGGTCTTCAGGGTACAAAACAGAAGCCTTTGGCAGGTTCAAAGTCACAGCAAGTGATATTGACTAAGACAGCTAGCGAAAGTGGGCCATTTCAGGCAGACCATGAAGAAGCTGCTATGTATGTGGGCCTGGTTCCTAGTTCAGATAGCCTTTGTACCAAAGTGTCTGTCCTGTTCCCATGTACGTTTTCCCTTTTCCTGCCTCCTTCTTCAGACCTCTCTCCACTTTCTCATGCCCCTCCCAGCGTGGCTCTCTGCCTGCCTGAAGAACTCCACTGCATGTCCAGTTAGTCTGTCTTTTCTTTCTTTCTCTCAAAAGAAATGTAACTGGGCTTAAATGTTAGGCAAATTAAAGAAATTTAAAAGATGATCCCAAAATTGGTACTGTGTTTTTGTTTCTTTTCTTAATGGATTTTTAAAAAGTTTTAATGTTTATCAAAATTATCTATGCAGGAGATGAGCAGGGGAAGAGACTGGAGCTTCTTAGCATGCATCCCTCTGGCAGGGAATCTCTGTTGAACTTTGCCCAGAGGAGAGAATAGGCTGCAGGCTTCTGTCTGGGTGAGGGCAGATGGGATGAGAAGATGGTCTGGGTAATTGTATCATCAATGTGCCCTCTTGCTCTTTGCCCTACCTTTACCCCTTGGGTTTGGCAGTGTGACTCGGGCTTCCCTAAGCTGATTCAGGGTGAGCTCTCCTGAGTCTGCAGTGACAGTTAACTGTCCTCTCTGCTTTTTAGCTTCCAAACTGTGTTACTGCTGTCTGTCTCCCATTCTCTTTTTCTTTTTTTTTTTTTTCATTTTTCTTTTATTATTCATATGTGCATACAAGGCTTGGTTCATTTCTCCCCCCTGCCCACACCACTTTCTCCCCCCTGCCCCCACCCCTCTCTTTTTCATAGGATGTTGGTACCTTGATTTGTAAAAGTTCCCTTTAATTGTCTTTTTAGGGTTTTAGAAGAGAGTGAAAATGGATGTGTTCAGTCTACCCTCTGTGTTATTATACTTGTGTTAGTTAGCTAGCTGTCTGTCACTATAACAGGTACCTGAAATAATCAACATTAAAGAGAAAAGGGTTATTTTGGCTTACTGTTCTGGAGGCTCCAGTCTATAACTGCACAAACACATAGCTTTTAGGCTTCTGCTTGTGTGGGGGGGTGGTGCATCACAACATTGTGGGAGCACATTGTGGAGCAAAACAGCTCGCTTTATAGTTGCCAAATGAAAGAGAGGAAGAGGACTGGATTGGGAGTCTCACAATCCATTAGAACCTCCCAGTAGGTCCTACTCTTAAAAATTCTATCATCTCCCATTTGGCACCAATGCAATGGTTCATGCCTGTAATTCTAGCTACTTGAGAGGCTGAAATCTGGAAGATCACAGTTTGAGGTCAGCCCAGGCAAAAAGTTTGAGAGACCCCCATCTCAACCAATAACTGGAAGTGGTGGTACATGCCTGTCATCCCAAGCTAGTTGGGAGACTGATATCTGGAGGACTGTGTTTCCAGGGTAGCCTAGACAAATTTGTGAGACCCAGTCTCAATGGAGAAAAGCTGGGCATGGTGGTACACTCCTATTATCTCAGCTATGGCAGGAAATGTAAAATAGGAGGATTTCTGTTCCAGGCTGACCTGGGCAAAATGCCATGCCCCAGCCAGGTGCTGGTAGCTCACACCTGTAATCCTAGCAGAAATCAGGAGGATCTTGGTTTGAAGCCATCCCTGGGCAAATAGTTTGTGGGACTCTATCTCAAAAAAAAAAAAAAAAAAAAATCACAGAAAAGGGCTGGCAGAGTGGCTCTAGCGGTAAGTTCCCCTCCCTAGCAAGTGAGAGGCCCTGAGTTCAAACCCCAATGCAGCCCAAAACAAAAAAACAAAAAACAAAAAACCCTATGACCCTGTCTCCAAAATAACCACAGCAGAAAGTGCAGGAGGCATGGCTCAAGTGGTAGAGCACCTGCCAAGCAAGCATGAAGCCCTGAGTTTAAACTGCAGTACTGCCAAAAAAAAAAAAGAAAGAAAAAGTTCCATCACCTTATAGTGCTTCTCTGGGGATCAAGCCTTTCATGCATGGATCTTTGGAGGACACTTAAGATCCAATCTATAGTGACGCTGAGCTTTTTCTTGTACTTATTAGCCTATGGGTTCTTGGGTTGCCTGGCTTGGGTGCCAAGCCCTGCCTTTGGGCAAGGATCTGCCATCAGTGGTTCTCAGAAACTTCATCTGTGAAACACTATGGTGTCCTCACTGGAAAACAAATCACAGGTGACCTCAGCTTCCTCACTGGGTTTTTGTAGCTCATAGCATAGTCATGGTGGCTGTAAGTTTCCATGTCATCAGGTTTTAGTGAATCTAAGAAGCAATCTAGAGATGTAGATTTTCATCCTAAACCTGTGGCTCTTGAAACTTGTGAGGAAGAAAATGCCCTTTCAAGTCAGTGTGTTTGTGTTTCTTTTCACGCACCTTTAATAGCACAACTATAGAATCCTATGCTATGTCAGGTTCTACAAGATCCTGGTCTAGGTAAAATGAGCACATTTTGTGCAGTTCCTGCTCTGCCCTACCAGCCTCAGGTTGAGTAAGAGGTCATTTGGTTTTTGGAGCAGAGTCCTGCTCTCCACAGGAGCAGGGGTGGGAGCCAGAGGCCTGAGGCCAGCCTGGCTGCATATTGTCAGCAGCACGCTCAGAATCACAGGATGGTTGAGATGGAATGATTGTGGGGTATTTAAAACAGGGTACTTGTAGGCTTTTTGGGTTCAAAGAGACACTTGGAGTTGGAAGACTTGAATTTGAGCTCTGGCTCTGTCCCTATTAATTGCATGACCATAAGTCACCAAAGCTGCCAAGGCTTTCATTTTCTCATTTATGAAATGAAGGGGTTGGCTAAATCACCGCTTATATTCCATGCTGCTGTGTAACAGCTCTATGAACTGCTTGTCCCTAGCAAGAATATTATTCTCCCTGGTATCATGATTAGCCAAGCAGTCATTTCTTCTCCCCTTAACACCTGTGGTCACCAGAGCTGCTGACCGAGTCTGGTGGTGACTACCTCTCATCATGCCAACTAACAGGAGGAGGTGGAGAGGCATTCTGACTCCCTCTCTGGCTCTTTCTTCTGCTTCCCAGAGCTGCTCCATGACTGTCTAGAGCTCTCCACTGATGCCCCACCAATCTGTTTCCTTTTCCAAGTATTCTGTATCCCCAAAATGGCCCCTTTTCTCTTCCAACCCAACTTTCCGAACCAGACTGAGCCCATCTAGATGTGAGATGAACTGGTTGAAGTGATTTCCAGGTAGGTGTAAAGGATGACTAGGTTCAACTGCTACTAGTTGCCAATAGCATTCTTCCCTCCCCCAAGTTGTGACAACTAAAAATCTCTGCAAGTATAATCAAAGGACCCTCTTGGTAGGGGACAAAACTGCTTTGACTGAGAGCCACTGTTCTATTGATAATGTGCTATCTCTGAGATTGGAGATTGTATTAGTCAGCTTTGGGTTAGTGCAGAGACATACCTGAGGCAACTAGCTTACAGAGAAAAGGGTTCGTTAGCTTATAATTTGAGAGTTCCAGTTCAAGATCTGACAGCCCATGGGTTTGCCCTCTGATGAGGGTGGTGGGTGGTAGTGGGATGGGGCACACGTTGGAGCTATTGATTACATCACTAGTTGGAGAGTGGGGAAGGGAACGGTCTGGGGTCTTACAACCCTCACTGAGGGCATACCTTTCACTGGGTTCTACCTGTTAAAGATCCATAGTACCTCCCAGTACTGCTACCTTGAGGATCAAGCTTTTACATGTGGACCTTTGGGGAACATTCATCCAAGCTGTAGCAGAGAAAGGGTTCTTTTGTTCTATAACAAAATTTGCTTGTCATTTTGCGTGCTGTTTCCATCAATTGAACTTGACCTTGGCAGGAGTAACTAAAAACATAATGTACAGGATCCTGAAAAGTTCTTAGATCTCAGTGAGTTCTCTTTAGGGAGGTTGTAGCTGGGTCTTTTTGTAAGACAGGTTACTTTTTAGGGGAATCCAGTTACATTAGTGGTTGACAGCACCCATAGGTGACCGGTCAGATGAACCAAGACCCAGAGGAACCAGAGTTTCATTCTCTTGCTGAAACGTCAGATCTAGTTTAAGGAGCTGCATGTACAGTTGTAGCCAGCAGGGGTCTCCATCCACTTTTAAATGACTCATTCTCTTCCTAGGGTTTAAATCTTTCCAAAAAATCTTATCTGCCATAAGCCACACTGTTTCTACACAGGGACATTGCTACTCTCTAGAGACCAGTTTGTTCAGGTGAAGCGGAAACTGCACAGAGCAGGAGTTTGCTAGAGTTTGAGTTTCTGCATTGACTGCAGACATGTTGGGGGACAGCGGGGACCTTGGTGGGAAAGGTAGTGCAGCTACAGTTTGCAGTTTCCAGTCTGGGATCAGAAGGCCACTGCCTGGTGTATTCACTCATGAAAGTCTTTATTTGGACTTGGAACTTCAGCTGTACCCAGGGAGAAAGACCTTTTGGCTAATAAAGGAAAGAAATTAAATTCTCCTGATGACTTTAGATGTACAAATGAAGCAGCTACATAAAGTTAAATGTAAGGCTGGATCTGTAAGTGAGAGTTGTAATTAAACTGCAGTTTTTGAAGACAAGCACAATAAAAAAAAATGTTTCTGGTATACACTCCTGAAGGCCTCAGTGAGCAGTGTTGGCACGCCTGGCCTTGGGCATTCTGGTGGAGGCTTCTGAAGGCTTTATTTTGGG